AGAAGCCGGGTAGGCCCGAGAGGCGATCTGGGCGCTGTGGAGAAGAGAAAATGTCTTGCTCCTACCGGGAACCTTAACCCCTCTTGCCCGGTCGTCCAGCCAGTATACTGACTGAGATATCCCGACACTGTCCTTGCAACGGCAGCAAACAAGTGGCCCCTTAATTCTGGTCTGCAGGCAGACACACTGTGGTCTCGGTGTACAAGCAATTGCGTAACACGGCTCCGAGGGTGAACAAACAGAGGTCCTCGATCAAAACTAACACAACAAAGGGCAAGCAAACTTCATACAATTTCAGGTCCCCGTAGGCAACATTTTGTTGACTGTTAAATTACAAAAAGGAAACCACTGGATGCAATTTCTTGGATCATCCTCAACTAAAAGGTATTTCAGATTCTGTCCGCCGATAACAGTAGCCGAGCGGTCTAAGGCATGAACTGTTTTCGCCCGCTCGTAAGCTGGGATCGTGGGTTCGAATTCCACTCAAAGAATGGATGTCTGTGTGGGTTTATTCTGTGTTTGTACTGTTCTGTGTGTAGGACGTCAGCCCTTTGAGACTCACTGAACCCTTGCGGTAATAGTCCTTATATAACATCCTCTCTGACAAGATGTGTTTCTCTCTTATGAATATGCCTGTCCTCTCACCAAGAGTATTTGCATCTAGCATATATAACCCGATACTGTAAATTCTTTCTCTTGCACTACATACAAGTCGTCTGTCAGACCTGACACGATGATGGCCTATATGGACCTAAACATGTGAGCGAAATTATAAAAAACATCTGCTTATGTGATGGTGGGAGCCGGGATAGCTCGGTCGGTATAGTGACTGGCTACATGCTGGACGACCGAGGGGTCGGAGTTCGAGTCCGGGTAGGATGAAGAATTGTCTCTTCTCCGCGTCTTTCAGACCGGCTCTGAGGCCCATTCAGCCTCCTATGCATTGGGTACCGGGGGTCTTTCCCGGGGTAAAGCGGTTGGAGCATGAAGCTGACCACTCACCTCCAGCTACTGCCGAGATCAAGATGATGTGGATCTATATATCGAATCCCCCATACGCCTTCATGAAGCACAGGGACAACTTTACCTTTTTACGTGACGGTAACTCCTCCATTTGTATTTAAAGAAACACACGCTTCGCGTAACACGTCTCTGGGAGTGCGCCATCGGTTGAATGGGCTGGATGTTCGAACAGATCTCCGGTGTGGCGATTTTGGTTCACATCTTACGTTGGAAATTAAATTTGGTTAACTTTTTTTTAATTAGCATAGTGGTGGGTGGAGTCCAGCTGGGTCCACTCGGCACGTCGGCCACTTCTGGCCTATTGTACCAGCCCCAGATGATAGGCGAGGGTGATTGGGGAGCAACTGGTGGAATGAAGATTGGCAGGGGAAACCGAAGTACTCGGAGAAAACGTGCCTCAGTGACACTTTGTCCACCACAAATTCCACTTGACCAGACCCGGGTGGGACGCCAGCGACTAGCCGCTTGAGCTACGGCGCTCTGTGTCACCATCTGGCGATTATGAGACCCGAAACATATTTCGAACAAGGAGTAACACTGAATTCACACCCACGACGAGCACTTCTAATGTTATGTAAACGACCGCCTACACTCATCACAACAGCGATCACTTTTAAAATTATTAGAAGGTGCTTTTCGGCCTTCAGCCATCTTCGCCGATAATCAGTTCACAGTCGGCAAACCACTGCCACTTGTACGGATTGCAATGCATCCTGTACCGCTGCTTGTGTCCCATCTGGCGCGACACCTCATTCAGTAAACCAAAAGAAACTGGAAGCGTGAACGTCCATTTACTTAAAGTAACATTACGCATTCAGGTATAACAGATCGAAACCTGATTCAGGGGGAAATTAAGAGGAGACTGAACTCGGGTAATGCTTGTTACCGTTCAGTGCAGAACCTTTTGTCTTCTCGTCTGCTGTCCAAAAACATAAAAATTAGAATATACAAAACTATAATTTTGCCTCCGATTCTGTATGAGTGTGAAACTTGGTCTCTGACATTAAGGGAGGAACATAGACTGAGGGTGTTAGAGAACAGGGTGTTGAGGAGAATATTTGGACCGAAGAGAGATGAAGTGACAGACAGGAGGTCTGAGAAAACTGCATGAGGAGCTTCATAACTTGTACTCTTCTCCAAGTATAATTGGAATGATCAAGTCAAGAAGGATGAGATGGGCAGGGCATGTAGCACGAATGGGGGCTGCGAGGAAGGCATATAGGATATTGGTGGGAAAGCCAGAAGGAAAGAGACCAAGATGTATGTGGGTGGACAATATTAAAATGGATCTTAGAGAGATAGGATGGGATGGTACGGATTGGATTGATCTGGCTCAGGATAGGAAGCAGTGGAGGGCTCTTGTGGACACGGTAATGAACCTTCGGGTTCCACAAAATGGTGGGAAGTTCTTGAGTGGCTGCACAACTGACTGCTTCTCAAGAAGGACTCAGCTGAATGAGTGATGAGTGAACATTATTAACATTTTAGCTAGAACCGGAAGTTGTCCAACGAAGGACTCGACAACGTTGCTGGTATCAGAGCGTCCTTCACAGCAGAAAGTGGAGACCCACGAGAGGGCCTTCGACCTCAGCACAAGACGCGCTGGCTGATCTACTTGCTGACTGGCCGGAGCAGATAAATCACACATCAGCACATCACAGTGCACACACGAACTTGTCACTGCCAAGACTCTTCTAGTACAGGATGACTCACAATTAAATATACCATTTTCGTTTGGGTGAAGTGGGGGAAGAGCTCAGCCTTTGAGGCAAACAGTGATGTGGCAATGTATGTTGCTAGTACGTGTCAGCTGGGAAACTATGCCAGAGTGGGACATCACCACGTTTCTGGGATCACAACCCGAACGCCGGCAATAACAGAGCCCACCACTGGGCACGATCCTGAGCCAGTTCCATCCACCTCCCATCCTCATGACATTTCACCAACAATTACGGGTTTCGTCAGTGTGTTGCAAGTTTCATGTTACAAGTATTATGTTTTTGGACATTGTTCTTCGTCTTGTCTACTTTCTAAAAACCGTCCTGTTTCTTTTCAAAGCACACCGTTTCGGAGACTGGATTCTGTCCCCGTCCTCAGGTAAAACCTACTCAGTTGGGTGTGATAAGACAGAGCTAGCCCCTATCTCCGGCCACCTACTGCAGTTTCAAGAAGGGGTTCATAAAACAAATACAACACAAACCATTTGCGAGAGCTAAGAAAATGTATTTTTTTTTTTTTTTACCAGAGAAGTATCTCGAATTAAATCATGGCTGCAGAGAAGCAATACTGCGTGTGGTGCCAACCCAAGAAAAACAAACAGTTTCCACTCCATCTACACTTGACGGCGCTGTAGTCTCTTGACTTCTGCCGTGATGACACGACATGTCTCTGCTGGACCATCCGAACAGTCAACCCAGTGTGGATCTCTGTCCCATCCGGACCCTGTCATTCATACATACTGGTACACTCAGGGGCCCTGCCTCTTATTCAGTTCCGTAATCTTTTTCATAGACGGTAGGACTCCTTGGATGGGTGATAAGCCCGTCGCAAGGCCGCTACCTACACAGAATAAACGCATACACACACCAAACACCCATGCCCTAGACCGTGCGGCTACTGCGACCGGCCCTGAGCATACAAGTGACACAGCAAACAAAAGCAAGGAGAAGTCGTCCCTGTGCTTAACTAATCAGACACCACTCCATGAAGACATTACTGATCTCGACAATAGCTTCACGACCAGGCTGCTTTACCCCCGGTACCCACTGGATAGGAGTTTCGATGAACACCATGGGTGGTCTGGACGCTGTGGAGATGAGAAAAAATCTTTCCCCTACCGGGAAACGAACCGAGGACGTGCAGCATGTAGCCCGCCGCTGTACCTTCCGAGCTATCCCAACTCCTTACACTGTGAACTGCAAACACATGTAAGACGATGATGACTGAGGCTTCTGGCAGGCGGCAATGTGAGCTTATGCATGTTAAGCTGTAAACATTACGATCATGTTGGGCTTACACTTAGACTTGCGTCCTCGTAACGACAAAATCGTAGAACCGGGTGACATGCTCCAGTCCTATTGGTCTGATCGGAGCACCGGACCTCTCTATGCCTACATCACACTCAGCTTAGCTTCTTACTCTGAAGATGGAGGCATCTTATTCCTCCGAAACGTCCGTAAGTGTCCAGACTTCTATTCAAAAGGCGCTTGATTCGAATCTCGGCTAGGACAACGGCTATGCTGACAAGACTGTGGCTGTTTTCCTCAGTCTCTACATGTTGGCGGCATATAACTTGATCAGTTCACGACCGCTTCCTTCCAAAGCTTGTTTCCCCTGCCAATTTTCATTCCACCAACTGCTCCACACTCATCATCTACCATCCGGGGCTGATACAATAGGCCAAACAGTGGCCGACGTACCAAGTGGACTCAGTCTCACCCCATCAGAAAAGTAATAATAAAAAACGTCTGAGCTATATATCTCGGTCCGGTTAAGTCCAAAATCTGTCAAAACGACATAAGCGTACCACGGAATTATCGTTGTTAGGATCGGGTCAGATTCACGCTACACCCAGTGACATCAAGATGCACACATTCTATTGCTGTATGAACACCTCGCTTTGTTTCTTCAGTCTCCTGTGGCAACTCAGCACCACAGACATGCGGTGTCACAACCCAAAACACTGTGAAGTTCCAGACACACCCCTGAAAACTTTTATAACATTCCCTAAGCTACAGTTTCATAGAATTACTGGGTTTTTTTTACTTTTTCCATCGTCCGGAATTCTAGTTAACAGAGGACACGACGTATCGGAAACTGGATGTGTTTCTGAAACGTCGTGACGTCTTATTACCCAGAATTCCGTAGGATGGAAAAAGTCCAAAAACCCAGTAATTCTGTGTGTCATTCACCATCGTCAGAACCCTTTAGGATCTACTACAGCTTCATGCTACGAATACTACCAAACAGCACGGTACCTGTGGTCGCCCGCCATCGTCGTAACATCTAGTCCCTTCGTGACTCGTGTAGCCCACCGGATCTACATGTGACACTTGTCCTAGGACATTCACCGCACCCACAGCAATCAGAAGTACACGTAGCCATTCACACGAAGCAACACTCCACGCCATACCAACACAACCACGCTGCTTAGCTTCCCGCCACAGACTGGCCCAGTGGCGCGGCTCCGAGCGCGACCGGCTCACATCCACGTACAAGTTCATTGAGTCGCGCGCCGAACTCGTAGCGTAGGTCGCAAAACTAAAAAACAGCGCATAACTAAGCAAGAACAAAGGGTTAAGTTATGCAACAAGGCTGCACCCAGCAAACACTGGCCGATGTCCACTCTTCCCCACGTAAACGTGCTCCAGGAGCCGAGCCCTTCTTCAGCCGTCAGTCGGCAAGCCACTGAAGATCTGCCCAACAATTTATGGAACCCGAAGCTTCATTACCGTGTTCACAAGGGCCCTCCACTGGTCCATATCATGAGCCAGATCAATCCAATCCTATCTCTCTGAGATCCATTTTATTATTATCCACCCACCTATGTTTTGTTCTTCCTAGTGGTTTCTTTCTTCAGAAGTTTGTATAGGGCAGGTTCGCTCAGGGCAGAGGCAGAAGAAATCTCAAAATATCAGTCAGATTTAGCGGGAGTACAGGAGGTCAGATGGGATGGAGGTGGCATCGCACCAGCAGGAGACTATACATTTTTCTATGGAAAGGGGAATGACAATCATGAATTAGGTACAGGTTTTTCCGTACATAAGAACATCGTATCAGCAGTTAAAGAGGGTAGAGTTCGTCGGTGATAGGATATCATATATAACACTAAAAGGTCGCTGATGTGATATCATCGTTATGAGTGTTCACGCCCCAACAGAAGATAAAATTGATGACATAAAGGAAAGGTTCTGCGAAGAACTAGAACATGTATTTGATAAATTCCCGAAGTACCCTATGAAAATTTTGCTAGAAGATTTCAATGCCAAAGTAGGGAGGGAAGACATTTTCAAACCAACAACTGGGAATGAGAGTTTGCATACTTCACTCTTCTCTACAACTTCTGTTTGAAACATTTCTCGCTCCGACAACCATTTAGCGACTTCCGGCCAAGACGCGTGCAGAAGCACGCGCAGGTCATCGTGTCAAGCGTCTGTTAATTGCTGACCCAGAGTAATCAAAGCTCGAATATGACGACAAATTTCAGTAGAAGTGACCGGCATCAGACTTCATGACAGTACGTCACGCACACAGGCACACTGAAGCCAAGAAGCGCATCTTTCGCCAATTTTCGTTGGAAACGCGTCACACGTGTGTGATATTTCGCACAACTTGTCTCGAAAATTACTTTGTTCCGATTTCCCGATGAGGTCTTTGAATTTTTCAACTGACGGACGACCGAGGGGTCGCAGTTCGAGTCCCGGTAAGGTCAAGAATTTTCTTTTCTCCACGTCGTCCAGACCGGCTCTGGGGCCCACCCAGCCTCCTATCCACTGGGTACCGGGAGCTCCTTCCCGGGGGTAAAGCGGCTGGAGTGTGAAGTTGAACACTCACCTCCAGCTAGTGCCGAGGTCAAGAAAACGAGGATCTATACAGCCACTCCCCCATACTCCTTCTTGGCGTAATGCTTAATTAGTTAAACACTGGGACAGCTTTACTTTTACCTTTACCTAATCCTACCAGCCGCACTATGTCCCTGGTCTCGACTCAGTCTCTAACAGAAATGAGTACCAGGAAACTTCCTAGGAGTAAAGGGAGGCAGGCGCGTAAGTCTGACAACCTCACCGCCATCTGTGAGTTGATTGTCTAGAGAAAATGTGGAAGCCTCGACGTCTCACAGTCCTATGGGCCTCCACGGCCTGTTACAGGAATAGCTTTACCTTTTTTTTTTACCGGAGCAGAAAAAAAGTAACCGTTAGGTTGCACTAGGAAGACTTAGACGTATTTGAAAGGATAATATTAAAATGAATCTTAGAGAGACAGGATGGGGCGGTAAAGACTGGATGGCTCTGACACAGGGTTGGGACTAGTGGAGGGCTCTTGTGAACACGCTAATGAACCTTCGGGTTCTGTAAAATGTTGGGAAATTCTTGAGTGGCTCAGCAAGTGGCGGCTTCTCAAGAGGGGCTCAGCTCCACGGAGTTAGTTAGGTTATGTTTCCTTTTCTATCGCAAAGCAGAGCACATCCTTGTTGAGTTTACAGCTCTTATCTCAGTAGGCTCTTGTCTCTGTAAGTGGGTCGCAGACACATTTCTTGAGAAAAATTGGCTCGCGTATTCGAAACGATTTAAATCCCCTTCTAAAATGCTCACATTGGGTGGAAAAGAACACAGATGCCAAACTGAACTAGCCTGCGATTGACTGGGAATGTAGCTAGACAGGGCATAGTTAGAGAGCGGAAACTGACTCAAGTGGTAACGCTTCTGCCTTGTATTTGTGAGGCTTCTCGCGGCTGTTCCTCAGTTTCTACATTTAAACTCTGCAAGTTACTGGAAACAGGTGAAGATTTTCTCCCATAAGCTGAGATTCTGTGGTGGGCTTTGGTGTTAGAGGTGTTGGACGCACTGTTCAGTTTAGTTACGATACTGTCTGGAGACGCCACTTCCCGTCTATAATTGAAGCAGAAAATAATTATCAGCAGGTCAAACGATTCGGAACAGAGGATGTCCTTCTGGGCCCGGAAATGGCTGTGAGATATGGAGTTATCTCAACACCCTCACACATCACCAGGCCAAGAGCCCTCAAGAAGAGACTTATGACTACATAGCTGTAGTCCACTTCGTGAGAAATAACTGCCGATCAGTGGATTTCTTCCAGTTACTGCCAGAAGACATCCGGTCTAAAAAAACGAGATAACGGCCGTGGGGAACCGTTGCCCTGACCACGTGACACCCTCTATCCGCAACATTTGGCACTAACTTCGTCGACAAGCGGCGGTCGCTCGGTCGGTATAATTCGCTTGCGGACTACAGGCCACGGAGTTATACTGCTATAAGACACACTGACAGCGACCTCTGATAGTATGAGATATTGGGAGGAGTTTGAACGGATCGTAGACGGATCTAGGTGCTATCCTGGAATTTTTTTTGGGGGGGGGGAAATCGAGAACAAGTACAAGAAACCTGTGTCCCGGACGATAATGGGACGGACCACCTCCTAAATATTCCCGCTAAGCTAACCTCGTCAGTCCTCGCTGTGAGTGACCCACATAGAAACAACACGTATGCTCATACTCCTGTAAAAGTAAAAGTAAATGTACCAGGCCGTGGAAACCCATAGGGTTGTGAGACGTCGAGGCTCCCACATTATCTAGACAATCGGCTCAAAGATGGAGGTAAGGTCGTCAGCCTTACGCGCCGGCCGCGCTTTACTCACCAGGAAAATTATTTAATTAATTCCTGGTACTCATTTCTGTTAGAGGCTGAGTGGACCCCAGGGCCTAATGCGGCTGGAAGGATTAGGTCAACTGAAAAGGCAAGTTTGACTTCTAGTCTATAGCCAAGTACACTGTCGGTCAGATTAATAATGAAACTGGGTTCTTCACAGTATCCCGCCATTGCAATCCCGTCCGCACCGGAAGTGAGATGTTACTTCAAGTACATTCGAAGTTCTGTCTCCCTAAACACGGATGTGAACTGAGATCTGAGAACCACACAGCGCTGGCTGTGACGCCGTGAAGTCTGCTAAATCATTAAGATGATTTGTGACCATACAAGGTCAAATGGAAGCACTGATGAGTTGGAGAGGATCTGGAAGGAAACGACTGTGGTCTAATCAAGATACTGCAGAGGCAGTTTCACGGAGGGACTGAGTTTCAGCAGGGAGCTCCCAGTTACTGTCCCAGTCGAGGCAAAGTTTTGAATGGTGCGCTCTGCGATACGTGAAAGAAAGGTACGTATCTACACGGGGTTCCAGTACGCGTTGGACACTGTAGAGACATGTCCCGTGTCTACACGAAGTGCAAACAGTGGCACGCACCCACCCATCACGAACAGGAAGTTATAAATTTATGATAATTGCTAATGTATACCAGTTCACACGTCAGTGAACTCAAACTCGAACTGACAGTTCGTTTGGGCTCACAAGAAAATGGCTCCTGAGTTGCTAGTGGGTGGGACTGAGTCCCCTGTACTGCGGCCACTCAGCCCCAGATGATAGGTGAGGGAGATTGTGGAGCAATTGGTGAAATGATGATTGGCAGGGGAAACCGAAGTACTCGGAGAAAACCTGCACCAGCGCCACTTTGTCCACCAATAAGCCAAGCAAAGAGCAAGTAAGATCGAACCCTGACCCCCGCGGCGGGAAGCCAGCGACTAACCGCTTGAGCTATGGCACGGCCCTATGGTGAGTGCCTACGTCAGAAGGGTTGAGGTTCTCATGGCGTAACTATTAAGATTTGACGCCGTATAGTCTGGTAGAACTTCACAGGCTTTTCGAAAGGAAGTACCGCTTCCGACTTCAGACCCGAAAAAAAAAATAAGCCAAGCAAAGAGCAAGTAACAATTATTCTACTTGGCTTTCCCTTAGACCCTGAAGAAGTAGACAGTAAGTTCTTCCGTTAACATGCGTCATACTACAGAATGTAGTACATTTCAAGTTACACGGACACTCCAATTTATGTGGACTATATCAGAACGCCGCGGTTTCGATTCCCGATAAGGTCACTGAAATTTTCAATCGACCTAACCCTTCCAGCCGCACTATGGCCCTGGGGTCGACTCAGCCTCTAACAGAAATGAGTACCCGGAATCTTCCTGTGGGTAAAGGGCGGCCGGCGCGTAAGGCTGACAACTTCACTGCCATCTGTTAGCCGACTGTCTAGAAACTGT